AATAATGAAAGAATAATGAAACATAACCTAATTTATGTTACAAATTCATTGTAATACGTTTATCGGGCTTTATATATGCAGCAATATTATCTTCTTATATAAATTGGTGATCAGTTTACCTAAATATACCTGGCGTTTAGAAAACATGCTTAATATTTTTCTACAGATAAAAAAAGATTGATATTAAAAATGGTTTTTTTTTATTAATTTCAGGAACAGTTGCTTAACAAAAAAATGGAAGACCATTATTACGCGTCTACAAGTGATGCTTATACGGACAATGTTATTACTCTTGAAAGTATTGAATCTGAAAATGTTGATACACGAGAGAAAATTGGAGATGATTACCTTATTAAATTGTATAGGGAACGAACATTTTTATACGACAAAAGTCATCGAGACTTCAAAAATAAAATAATGAAAGAAAATGCTTGGTCAGAAATTTCTAATATTATGCAACAGAAAAACTTAGGTTATTATATTTTTATTATAATCATATTATAATTATGTTGATCTAATAAATATGTATATTTAGATGCTGTAAGTAGCTATATTAATATTTATTATATTTTTTTATTTTATAGGTGAGCAGTACACCCCTGAATATTGCCAAATGAGATGCACTTCTTTACGAGATCAATATAGCCGTGAAAAAAGATATTTAAAAAATGATCAAAAAAGTGGAAGTGCTTGCTCAAAACGCAAAACGTTTCCATTTTTCTCTCAATTGTCGTTTCTTGATAATTTCATTAAAAGGAGGAAGTAAGTGAAATTAAACATTACAAAATTAGTTAAAATAATTGTTTTTAAATTGATAATTCTAAAGAAATATTTTGTTATTTTTTAGAACTATTTGCAACATAGAAAAAGAAAAGAACATTCTTCAGTCCGTAAAAGATACAGAAGCAGCATCTCTGAAGAACAGCAACAACGAGTCCATTTGATGAATCAGAACAGCAAATTAAAGTGTCTCAGAAAAGAAATATTTCTGGATCTGAAGATGTGGAAAATGAGGAACACGATTATAATGAACGTAGCAAGAAAAACGCTTCAAGATTTAAAAAACAAAAAATTAATAAAACGGCATCTATTGATGATACGTTTACTGACATCAGTCATGCTATATTGAATTTTTTAAACACACAAGAAAATACTGCAGATAACATAAAATCAATTGACCAATCATTTGCTGATTACATTGGTATACATTTGCAAAGCATTCCGGAACCCGAAAAATCAATACGGAAAAAAAAGATATTTGATGTACTTACTGCACCATTACCTAAAACGTAATAAGAAAAAATTTTTTTTAACCTTTCTTATATAGATATGTATTTCAGTTTGATTTAAATTTTCTATTTGTTAACAAAAACTAAGTTGTGTTATAAAACGGGATATATATATTATAAAACATATATTTGTTTTTTTTGTAAAAGATTTTTTTGTTAAAGAACCAAAGATTAAATACAACATATTCTGTGGTACAATATTATATAGCATTACCACAATCTGTTATATTACAGTATTCTTTAGTTAATGGCATTTATTTTTTTGTGAACCAAAGCTTAAATATTAACACATTCTGTGATACAATATTATGTAGCATTATGACTATTTATTTTATGTAATAAAGTATTATTAAAATAAAGATATACGTATATAAAATAAAATTTTTTTTATTTTACACAGATGTACCTTCTTACACCATTGTACAAGGGAAATAATGATAAAACGATTATTCAATCATTTGGATATCACATTAATTTTATTAAAAAATGCTATTAGGTAAGTAAAAATGTTTTATTAAGTCATAAAAGTATTACAAATAATATACTTATTTAAGGAACTAAATATTAAAACGTTCTTAGTAGTTTTATGGTTTTAGATTTAAAAAATTAAATAATGAAATGACATTTATATACAAGCTGACTACAGTTCTGTTATGCAAATTCTTACGTAAGGACAAATACAACATTGTAATTGTATAAATTAGAATCCCAATATCACATTTTTGTAACAAAAACACAAAGAAAATAGGAAATGATAAATCTTTTATTACCCATATATTTTTATTATTTCTATGTAATTCAATAAGGTAATCATCTCCAATTTTTTCTTGTATATCAACATTTTCAGATTTTATCATTCCCTATATTCTCCATATAAACCTCTTGTTATGTAATCGTATTGCCACGTCACTTCACCGTTAGGAGTTATAAAATAATCGCATAAAGCATCTCTTTGTATTAAACCTGCACGAGTATTCAAACTTTGTAAATGCTCTTCATTTGACCATTGTACATTATCATGTTCAGTATTATAGAATTCTGTACTGTAAACTTTTTCTCCAGATCTTTCTTCTTTGGTTAGAATGAAATTATGTAAACAAACACAAGAAGTTACTACAATGTCTGCTGTTTTAGGTAACATACATAAAGCTTTATGAAATATATTCCATTTATTACTATAAATACCAAAAGCGCTTTCTATTGTCTGCCTAGCTCTGGAAATTCTGTAATTAAAGATTTTCTTTTTATTTGCTAACTGTTTGCCGGAATATGGTTTCATTATTCTATTTGAAAGGGAGAAAGCGTCATCTGCCACGAAAAATGCCGGTGTTGCAATATCACTACCAGGCAATGTAGCCATACCCTTTGGTAAATTTAGATCATCATTTGTTAAACACAAGCCTATTTCAGAGTCAGCGAAAATTCCTCCATCGCTATTGCCTCCATAACCACCGACATCTATTATTGTAAATTTATATCTGTAATCAGCCACTGCCATTAAAACAATACTATGTTGTTTCTTGTAATTGAAATAAGAACTTCCAGAATTAGGTGGACACTTTAAAACAATATGCTTGCCATCAATTGCGTCTAAACAATTTGGCATATGCCATTTTTTCCAATAATTAGTGGCAATACAAGCCCATTGTTGTTCTGTTGGTGGAGAGAGATACAATGGCAATAAAATTGTTGTAATAACAGAACATACTTCTTTATATAACTTTCTAACTGTTGATTCCCCTACTCGAAAATCTAAAGCAATAGATGCAGTTTGACCTCCAGTTCCAATAAATCTAATAAATATAGTAAAAAATAAATTGTAAAACATAATAGTAATAAAAACAATTGTTGATCTAGAAAAGTTATAAAATTTACATCAAATATGCAAATTGTTTCTTTTTTCAAATACGAATAAACATAATAATTTATTTTAGTAATAAAATAAAACCAAATTTTCTGATAAGAGTATAATTATATCACAAATTATACAACACATTTATGTAAAAATTTTATGTACAATTTTGATTCTAAAATTATAAATATAATAATAATATTACATAAATTACCTTAAAGCGATAAGCAATCTTTGTTCTGGAGGCAATGCTCTATAATTATGTTTTATTAGAGACGATTGTAATAATTGAAGCAATGTTTGAAAACTATGTTTCGACATTCTTACATATTGAAAGAACATGTTTTCATCTTTTTTCAACTCTTGAAAAAGAACATCATAATGGCCAAGTTGCTTTCTTAATTTGTTGATTGGCCACTTTCTATTTCTCCATCTTTTATGTAATTTTCTTTTTTTTAAATAATAATGACATAAAAGAAACCAGAATATAATAAGAATTTTTTTTTCCGGGCGCATCTGTCTGATTCTTTATATATAAATCTATAATATTTTATAGTTATATATAAATAAATAAAAAAAATATATAATATTAATATATATTAAGTTATGTACATACACATGTATATGTTAAACAGAGCAAGTCATAATTTCTTTACTTCCCCCCTTTTGAAAATATATGACAATATATTACAATATAAAAATTTTATGTTACATTAATTTTTATTATCATTTTAAAACTGTTTTGCTACATATTCACAATTTATATCCAAAGTATTAAAAAAGTTGAACAGTTATATAGTATAATCAAATAACGTGATAACAATTACCATTAATGATAAATCCTCAATCAGTCCTCAGTCTTAACACAAGTATCTGCTATAAATAAGTATTACGCAATTCGCAATCGCGGCAAGCATATGTGAAGAATGCAGTCTTTCTCATCAAATAACGGTTTTTGAAATTAATAAAAAAAAACCATTTTTAATATCAATCTTTTTTATCTGTAGAAAAATATTAAGCATGTTTTCTAAACGCCAGGTATATTTAGGTAAACTGATCACCAATTTATATAAGAAGATAATATTGCTGCATATATAAAGCCCGATTCGATAAACGTATTACAATGAATTTGTAACATAAACTAGGTTATGTTTCATTATTCTTTCATTATTTTGAGACATATTTGTAACATAATTACGATTTATTTTTAAACAATTAGAATATTTGAAATAGTATATTATAAAATGTAATCATATTTACTTACTGTTAACAACAATATAAAACACTTAAGCAATTAATATGAAACGCAGTGGAAAAGCCGACACGAAGCACGAGAAGATGTCGGTAAAGGCTTACGTT